CCTAAAATGGTTTGGGGTTTGAGGTTTGGGATCAGAGCTCCACAGAACCCTGCGAGGTCGTACTGATCTTTTCGACCGTCCCTGCAGCCGAAGCTTGAATGACCCGGGCTCGCTCTAATCAGTAATACTACATGTAGGCCTATACCAGAATAGATGCCAAAACCGCATTCTAATGGTAAAGGCCCTCGATTACGTCAGGTCATGCTCCGGAGCCCTGGCTGTGCATAGGTAGTGTGCTCATGAAGGCCAGACAAGACATCGAGAAGTCTAGAGGAGTTCGCGTAGTGCGAGCAGATCGCATCAAACACGATGTAAGTCCATACAGCCGTTGCGTCTTCTGGGAGAAACTCGCGGAATTGCTGTGGTCGTGCTTTGCGACGGAATTNNCCCCCCCCCCCCCCCCCGCCCCAACTACCAAGCCAAGCGGCAGGAGGAATGAAGACTCGAACGGAGAAGGCCCAAGCCCGGGATCTTAAGCCCTGGACTTCAAAGCCCCAACTAGAATGCGTCATCTCCGTCAGAAAATTATGATTTGTTATGCCATCATATGGTGCCCTGGTGTTCATTGCTTCTGAACTCCCACAAACGCGGCCGGCTCACCGTCACAATTACGCGTTCTTGTACTTGCTTGTATCGTTTTGTGGTTATGTGTATCTTATCATTGTCGTTGTTTCCAAGATCGCTACTTCATCTGCAGCTTCTACAGCTTATACTAAACGCCACTCTGCAGCCTAAACTATCTAAACCCGAAGCCCGACACAAAACTTAAACCTTAAACCCTACAAAGACCCTAAACCCTAAACTATAAACCCTTTATAGATTTTAAACCTTAAACCCTTCAAAGACCCTAAACCGCTAAGCTATAAACCCTTTATAGACGTTAAGCCTTTCACCATGACCTCCCTGAATGCCAAGGATTGAGCTCTACGAGAAGGCTCTCTCTTCAAAAGGCAGGGTCTTTGGGTTTAGGAGTCAGGTTTTGGGGTGTAGGGTTAAGGATTTAGGGTTTAGGGTTTAGGAGTCAGGTTTTAGGGTTTCGGGTTTAGGGTTTAGGATTTAGGGTTTATCCGCTTAGGGTTTAGGAGTCGGGATTTAGGGTTTACCGCTTGGGGTTTAGGAGTCAGGATTTAGGGTTTACCCCTTAGGGTTTAGGAGTCAGGATTTGGGGTTTAGCGTTTAGGCTGTCGGGTTCAGGATTTGGGGTTTAGCGTTGAGGCTGTCGGGTTTAGGGAAGGCACCCCCTGGCATTCTTGAAGCTTCAAGGATTAGCAAGACGAGTCACTAGGTCTCCTTATCCCAGGGTTTGCCAGGGTATGCCCCAAACCCTATTCTACCTATAGTCTCCATTGTAGTTCTTTTTTTTGGTTTAACCAATTATATATTAAGGATTTTATAAGGCATTCCCAAAAATGAACTACAATGGAGACTATAGGTATTCTACTAACTATTAGCTCAGCCTTGGGAATATTTCGCCATTGCACCTAGGAGGATCTTATCTACTTGAAGGGCCACCCTACACTCCTCTAGTATCCCGCAGTTTTTGCCAACCAGAACCGGAACCTAAGGCTCCGAGTCAAGAAGCCAAGGCGTAGCAGCGGAGAAGGTTACTTTTTTGCAGTTGCAGTTCGCAACCCCCTCGCAAACATCAAGGATGGTGAAAACCACCCTAAACCCTAAACCCTAAACCCGGATCTTTCTTGTGAGTTGCCTGTTCCACCGTGTGGCCGGACGATGCAGGCAGCACGTCTGACTTGAAGGAGGACTTGCAGAAGGCGCAGCTCTCATGTGATCCCAGTTCCCTTTCTTCAGCCCTAAACTCCCTAAACCCTAAACCCTAAACCCTAAACCCTAAACCCTAACCCTAAACCCTAAACCCTAAACCCTAAACCCTAAACCCTTAAAGGTACCCTAAACCCTAAACCCTCAACCCCTAGGGCATACCTGCTTGGACGGATCTTGAGCTCTAAGACTGGATACAGCTACATGGGAGTCTGCGAGAGTCTGCGCACGGGGCATCTGGCAATGGCACACAGGTCTTAGCAAATGCTTTCATGCTTGCAGTGTGCACCACGGTTTCTTCCCATCGCAGTCGTGCCAGTTAAGACAGAAGTATGCAGGACATGTCATTATATGGGAATTTCAGAAAATAAGGGACCCTGGTAGAGCACCCTAAGTAGTAGAATCCTTATTACAAAAACCTGAAAATAAAGTAACCTAGTTTTCTGAAATTCTCATATTGCCCCAGGTGCCTGGGCCAACTTGACTTCAACTTTCCAGCTGTTGAGGGCCTTTTCTCTTCCCGGTTGGGGGCTTCTTGCTCCTTCCCGGTCTCTATTTGCCACTTCCCCTGCGGGGCGTGCAGTTCCCTAATCCCTACAGCTATAAACCCTAAACTTCCCCCGACCCTAAGCCCCTAAACGTCCAAATCTCTCGACGAGCGAAACATTGATGTCGATTCTGTGGAAACGCACCCTCGACCTGATCTTAAGGGGCTTATAGAGGTCTTTAGAGGTTTTCAGGATTCTACAGGCTTTACATCGCGTCCTTAGGCATTCGAGTTTGATGTTTTCCGGAGTTCATCTCGAGAAGGTTCGCCTGAAGCTGCACTGTTCAACAGTTACCCTCTGGCAGTACTCAGGTATCTACTGCTATAGTACAGTAGCTGAGTGGTGCTACAATGGAGATGTTCATTTTTTCTGCCATGTATTGCTGCTCTTGCTGCTGCGGCTTACATCAACCGCGACGGTGTTGCGAGACTGCGGTCATGCTATTCGTGTCTACAATGTAGAGGTGATGGCCACTATGCACGGCGGTGCACCGGGCCATTTGGTGCTGATGCAAGATGAGCTGAAGGCTTGTACGGGGCGGATTGTGGTTTTAGACTAACTCTAAACCCTGAACCCTAATCTCAAACTTTGGGATTTTCGGGGTTTCGGATTTCCAGCTCAGGTGCTTAATGCATGTATGCTTTGAGGGCCCGCGGGTTTCGGGGCCGCCGGCCCCCAGCAGTCTTCTCATAGTTGGGCGGCGGGCCGGGTAGGTTGCTCTAGGGTTCTGCTCTTGTCGGGGTCGTGATATTCAGGAGTTTGCTTTCTGCGGTCCACGTTGTGGTCTGCTATCTCTGCTGCAACTGACATACGAACAACGTGATGTTCATGTTGCACCTAACGAGCACTATGGTCCCTGATCTTTCCCTAATGTAGCAGCTTCAGTCATTGGCAACGCACTTCCATCTCATCCTTATTTCAGCTTCACATCTGCGGATGACGCATTCTCCCAAGTGTTTTGGGCCGTACCTAAACCCGTGTGGATGGCACGTCAAGAAAGCTGCCGCAGGGCATTCAGTGCTGCGCGGCGGAGCTTGATGCCCTGCACGGTGCAGTGCAAGCTGCATTGCAGACTCCGTTGTAGCATCAGGGCCATCCATGAGTATGAGTCAAGTAGGAGTGTCAAACCGAACCCTGACCCTCCAATAATAAGCATGCCGAGAAATCCCTAAACCCTAAACCCGCAGCCCTCCTAAAAAGCCCCAAACCACTAGACTCCCTAACTTGAAGCCCCCCGGCTCATTGCTTCGGGCTTTCGCTGACGCGTCTGAGCATTTGCCCAGAGCCAAAAGGGTTCAGGGTTTAGGGTTTCTGGAGCCCCGTGGTATTTCAGAAGGTGGGGTGTTTAGGCAGGACTTCATGTGTGGGGGCTTAGGATCAGGCGACGGGCTTTAGGAATTGAGGGCTTGAGGTTTATAAGGCTTGTTGAAGAGGTACTGAGGCAAGGTTTCAGTACATAGGAGTTGGTCAAGCAAATGGCCAAAAGATACTGACGACTATGCGGACATGGGAAGCCGGGTGTTGCTTTTCACAGAATGCATCGCTTGGATTTGAGCCACAAAACCTCGTGCTTCTACTACTCCAAAGCAGCTTGCTTCTGACCATGGTCCCCATCAGATGTGACATGTCAGCGGCAGCAAATGAACACCTGAAATTTTGCAAACGATGCGCCCCCCAGCCTCCCCACACGAAGCACAGTAATTCAAGCTGGCAGCCTGACAAAGGCTTAAACGCCAAACCCTAAACCTTTAAGATCCGAAGCCTAAACTACCCTTAAGCTCCGAGCCCCAAACTCCTAAACTCCTAAACCCTAAACTTTTAAACTCCTAAACTCTTAAACCCTAAACCCTAAACCCTAAACCCTAAACCCTAAACCCTAAACTCAGCCTTCCTAGGAGCCTCCAAGTCGATGGCCCCTTGCCTTGGGTGCTTTGGCCATGGCAGTGGCTTTGGTGCTGCCGGACGCAGAGCCTCCCATGAGGCTGAAGGCGGCAAGATGTCAAGTAGGGGTTTTGGGGTTTAGGGTTCAGGGGTTTAGGGTTTAGGGTTTAAGGTGATAGGGTGTAGGGTTTGGGGGAGGAGTTTTCCAGAAATTTACAAGGGCTTTAAGAGTTCAGCTTCGGGTCTTTCAGAGCTACGCCCCAAATCGTCAACCTACACCCCGGCCAGTGGCTTGGAAGTCGTAAGACCGGTAATTTCGGTCGCCAAGTCTCTAAGCCTCGTTAGCTTTGAACTAGACCCTAACCCGATCGAGCAATACAGGGGTTGCATCTCGTTGCAGTCCTTAGTATAGTAAGAACACCCCAAACAAAAGTTCTAAAGATTAGGGCCACTTGACTATGTCAACCTGCATAAGCCCTCAGTTCAGGAGGACCTCGACTCGGATTTCCAGCTTCCGGCGTACCTCGAGGCTTCCGTGTTGGGGAAATCTGTGGGACCAGCCAACCACAGGACGAGGAACTGTTTGGATCTAGGGTTATAATGCAGCAACAAGTACCTGTAGCAGTCATGGCAATAACAGCCTTAAGGACAAGAGTAGCAAGCACAGTACGCAGCAGCCTAGAGCAAATAAAGGGAACAACAGCAGCAAGGAAGAACAAGAACAAGAACAAGAACAAGGAAAAGCGGCTCCTACTGCTGTTACAGCAACTGCTGCTGCTGCTGCTGATGCTGCTGATGCTGCTGCTGCTGCTGCTGCTGCCGCTGCTGCTGCCACTGCCCGTGCTGCGGGTAGCATTCGTACTACAACAGCAACTACTAACCACTGCAGCAACAACAACATCATCAACAACAACAACAACAACAACTACTACTACTACTGCTACTACTGCCACTGCTACTGCTACTTAGTGCTACTGCTGTCGGTACAGCTATAGCTGCTACTACCGGTACTTCCATACTACTACTTCCAGTATTATAATTATTATTATTATTACTACTACTACTACTACTACTACTTCTACTACTACTACTACTACTACTACTACTATTACTACTACTACTACTACTAAGATTACTACTGCTACTACTACTACTACTACTACTACTACTACTACTATTACTACTCCTACTCCTACTCCTACTCCTACTCCTACTCCTACTCCTACTCCTACTCCTACTCCTACTCCTACTCCTACTGCTACTGCTGCTGGTACTGCTACTACTGCTACTGCTACTGCTACTGCTACTAGAAAGACTTCGACTACTACTCTTACTGACTCCTGCAGTAGCTGCTGGTATCTCCGCCACTACTGTTACTGCTTTAACTTGACTGCGGCGATGACGACTAGTCTCTGCGCCTGCTCTACTACCACCACCGCCGCCACCATCACAACCCCCGCTACCACCACCATTAGCATCACTAATTAAAGTGTCCCTGGTGACACAGTAATGTTCACGCATATGATGTTTACGCTGCTGTTGCTTCTACTCCCGTGCCTACCCGTGGCATGCTGCCACCACTTATGTTACATGTGGACGCTACTGCATCTACAACTGGGCTAGTTCTCGGCCTGCTTTGCCTTACTGAAGCTATCACAGCCTCAGTTCATCATTGATCTACGTCTAGCACAGCCTTTTTTTGACAAGGAGCTGCTGCATGAGCTGGATGTCTCACAACCTCTTCTCCGAGCGGAGCCTTTGTCCTTCAAGGCAATCCGGACCGCTGTCGCTTTGCGAAACCTTTCTTTGCACTGCTCGGTCGATGAGTGCGCGCGGCTTGAGATTTCAGGCCTTGTCTTGGGTCGATTTGACATCTTCCAGCTAGATTGCACACCAGCATGGCTGATGCTGCGAGTTCTACTCGCATGCTCAATGCTTCTTACTTGAGCATGTTCTGACTAGCAGCTGTGGGAGTCGATGAGAAGCGCTGGGGTGGGCCGGAAGCATGAGCAACAACACAAGTATCCATAGTATTGGCACTGGCAGGCACTAGCACCATGATGGCGGAAGTGGACAACAGAAATGAAATTCAGACGCCACGGCCAAGCCACAATCTGGCGCTTAGTCTTCAGGCTTATGTAAATCACGAGCACTAAACGTGAACTCGCGCCGGGCTCCAAGCCAAGAGACAGATCGTATCCGACAGGTGGAAACTTTGGAAGAAGGCGAGGCAGAATTTCATCAGGTATCTGAGCTGAAGTTGGCATATGTCTGTGTATTTGTGTGTATTTGTGTGTGTTTGTGTGTGTGTGTGTGTCCGTG